CACAGAAACCAGGATTTGACTTCACAGAGACTTTCAGCCCAGTTGTCAAACATAATACTATAAGGATAATGCTCACTTTGGCTTTACAGAAAGGATGGACAATAAGGCAGTTAGATGTGAGTAATGCTTTTCTCAATGGGGATCTCAATGAAATGATCTACATGAGACAACCACCAGGTTTTGAGAAGATGGGGCATGAGCACTTAGTCTGTAGATTATCAAAGGCCTTATATGGTTTGAAACAGGCTTCTAGGGCCTGGTTCAGCAAGGTCAAGGAAGCTAAAAAGTTGATGGGATTCAGAGACTCAAAGGCTGACAGTTCATTGTTCTACAAAAACAGCCAAGGTAGTTCATTGTTTGTACTTATATATGTTGATGACATCCTTGTCATAGGGACTCACAACATTGAGATAGAAACCTTTGTCAAAAATTTTGGAAAAATGTTTGCTATCAAGGATCTTGGAGAATTAGAACATTTCCTTGGGATTCAGGTTACTAAAACAGTTGATGGACTACACTTAATTCAAGAAAAATACATTTTGGAGCTGTTGAAAAGAATGAAGATGCATGATGCTAAAGGAGTCCCAACTCCCATGGTATCATCCCCTCAGTTATCCAAAAACGAAGAAAATCCCACAGTTGATGGCACATTGTACAGAAGTGTTGTTGGAACTTTACAGTACATTACCTCACTAGACCTGAAATCACCTATGCAGTAAACAAAGTCAGTCAATAGATGTCTTGTCCCTTGGACACACATTGGAAAGCTGTAAAGAGAATAGTGAGATACTTAGCAGGAACAATGGACCATGGTTTGCACTTCAAGAAATCTGGGACTCTCAATATTAGAGCCTTCTCAGATTCAGATTGAGGGGCAGACATTGATGATAGAAGATCAACTTCAGGCTACTGTGTGTTCCTTGGAGATAATTTGATATCTTGGTGCTCTAAGAAACAAGCTTCTGTTTCTAGATCTAGCACTGAGCCAGAATACAAGAGTCTTGCTCATGCATCCTCTGAGGTAACATGGATTAACTCTCTACTTGCAGAAATTGGAATGAGAATAGTTAAGACTCATGTTGTGTGGGTTGATAATCAGAGTGCAGTTTTCTTAGCTTCAAGTTCAGTCATGCATGGAAGAACTAAGCATGTTGAGCTTGACTACCATTTTGTTAGAGAAAAAGTTGAAAATGGTAGCCTTCTGGTATGTCATATTCCTTCAGTAGAGCAAATAGGAGATGTGTTCACCAAACCTTTGTCAATGCAATTCTTCTCTCGGTTAAGAAACAAATTGGGAGTCAGTAGCAAGACCTCGATTGAATTGAGGGGGAGTGTCAGCAAACCTGATGATTTGGCAGCTTACTTGGAAGCAGACGTGGCAGTCACCTTACAGTCAACAGCAAAAGAAAAAGCAGCCATGCATGAGGACAATGGCATTAATTGCTATGCAGCTTTATCTGCTCGATCAAAACAGAACTCGAGTTTGGGTTCTTTACCACCGTAGGATCATATTTTTTATTGTACAAGTGTCCACCTTATCTACCTTGGATTGAGAGT